CGCCATTCCTAAGGCTACCGTTCACACTTGCCCTTGCCCTGGCTATGTCTGCAGTGACCCTGTTTCTTTTTTCATTTTATTTTTCGAGACAGGGTCTTGCTATGTAGCTCAGGTTGGCCTTGGACTATGTAGCCCAGGCTGAGCTGGAACTCGTGGTGATCCCTCTGCCTCAGCCTCCTGAGTGCTGGGCTTACAGGCGTGCTTCACCATGTCCAGCTCTGCTTCTAAATACGGTCTCATTCCAAGGTTCCAGGAAGGACAGACTTTGGGGAGACCCCCTTAGCCTGGTGCTGGCACTGGTCTGTGCCCTGTAGAACCTGGGCCAGGAGCCCAGGGCTCTGGCAGGCCATCCTGAGCTGTGGCTGTCCCTGCCTGCTCCTGTTCCTATAGCGCTCCAAGGCCGTCGCTGTCAGGGCTTGCCGGACTGGAGGTGCTTTCTGTGCAGCAGAGCACCCTGAGGATGTCAGAGCCCTGAGAGGGCCGTGACTGCTTCTGTATGCATAATTTTTTAACGTGAACTGTGTTTAACTCTTGATTCCAGACCTCAGCATCCCTTTCTTCAGAGGAAAAAGGTAAAAAGAGCAAGAAGAAAAGCAGGAGGCGCAGGGCCAAGGGAGAGTGGAAGAGGCTATCCGAGGACGAGTGTTTCCGCTGCGGTGATGGTGGGCAGCTGGTGCTGTGCGACCGCAAGCTCTGCACCAAGGCCTACCACCTGTCCTGCTTGGGCCTGCGCAAGCGGCCCTTTGGTAAGTGCTGGCTGCCGTCTCCTTGGGCGCCCTGCTTGCTGGGTCTCTTCCTGATGCAGCCCCCAGGCTGGAGGAGACACAGGGTTGGGCTGGGGAGGGGAGGGGCCGCTGAGCCACCTTGGGGCCTGGCCTGGGTGTACTACATCCTCGTCCCTCCCCAGGGACGGCAGGTGTGCCAGGAGTAGCTCTTTCAAGATGAGGGACATCAGAGTGAAGTGGTAACGTTCTGATCTCAGAACGTTATTTATTTACTTAGTGCTATTGGAGATGAAACCCAGGGCCTTTGCACTGAGTTACGTCCCTAGACCTTTTTATTTTCTCAAGATGGGGTCTCATAAGTTGCCAAGCTGCTGAAGGAGAGTCTGAATTTGGGCTCCTCCTGTCCGAGTGTGCAGCCTCCACGGTCAGTAGCGCCCAGTGTCCACCAGGTCCTTGAGCACCGAGTATAAGCCCCCACTACTGGGTCTGTTCTGGCGATCCTTGAGAGGAAAGCTAGGGCCTCCTGCATAGCAGGCACGAGCTCAGAATGGAGCTACACCTCAGCCTGAGCATTAACTTCTATTTAGCAGTGAATAAAAAGTATTTTTCATTGATTTGCATTTGTTTGACAGCACTGGGGACTGAACCCCACGGTGCTCTTCCACTGAGCTACACCCCCAACCCTTTTAATTTTTTGAGACAAGATCTTGCTAAGTTGCCCAGGCTTGCCTTGAGTTTGATCCTCCTGCCTCAGCAGGGTTCCAGGCGGCGTGTTGCACCATGCCCTGCTTAGACAGTTTCATGAAGCATTAACAGCTGGGCATGGTAGCACATGCCTGTGCCTGTAAGCCTAGCTACTCAAGATGGTGAGGCAAAATGGCAAGTTTGGGGCCAGTCTGGCTACACAGAAACGCTGTCTCTGATGGCAGACACAGAGGGACTAGGGATGTAACGCAGTCACTGTGGAGGCCCTGGCTCATCCCCAGCATCCAGCACGATGTCCCCAGCATCACCGACAGCTCTGAAATGTCCAAGGAATAGCCGTCACTTTGGCCCTGACGCTGAGCTCTGTTGCAGGGAAGTGGGAGTGTCCGTGGCATCACTGCGATGTATGTGGCAAACCTTCCATGTCATTTTGCCACCTCTGCCCAAACTCGCTGTGTAAGGAGCACCAGGACGGGGCGGCGTTGCGCACCACACAGGACGGGCAGTCCTACTGCTGCGAGCATGACTTGGGGGCGCAGGCCGGGCTGCGCAAAGGCAAGGCTGAGAAGCCCCTGCCAGACCCGGCCAAGTCCAAGGGGAAGAGGAGGAAAAGGCGGTGCTGGCGTCGGGTCACAGAGGGCAAATAGCGCCAGGAGCCACTTGGGAGCTGCTTGGTCTGGTCCAGGGGCATGGGCCCCACCCAGGCCCCCACCGGCAGCTACAACAGATGTACAGGCGCCCAGGAGGGAGCGCCCCCCACTGAGCCATCGCGGAGCTGGCTGCGGCCGCACTGACAACACCCACCACCAGATGCCCACTGCTGGACGCCCCCGCCAGGCTTCTGGGGACAAGACAAAGCAGCCTCAGGCAGCACAGCCCCGTTGGTCTGTGTAGGGTGGGCCCGGCGAGGAGCTTGGTGGGTGACGTCCTGTCTCTGTGTGCATAGAGTAGTCTCTGAGGGCCCCGAGCTGCTCCTGAGGGCCGAGGCTGTGCCTGTGGTCACCCTGAAGTCCAACAGTCCGTATTTTGACCTTTTCTTTCTTTTGAAACAGTTGTATGTCTTCTGTACTAATGTGAATCTTCCTCAGAATGCTTCTTTTCCACCCGAGGCCTGACACAGCCACGGCGTTGGTGGCTTCTGGCCCGCTCTTCCTCTGGATTTGGACTCACGCCCGCCTTGGAAGTATTGGCCGCATGGAGCGGCGCTTCTCCCCATGTAAGGAACACACATTTGGGGGAAGCTTTGTATAGTTTTTAAATTTGGCTTTTCTTTACAAGTTTCTGGTTTTTATCTTCAATATATTTTTGCTAAATCTGTCTCACAAATTACCACCAACTACAACGTGTCATTTCCTGGCATGTCCTGAGCTCTCCAGCAGCAGCAGCAGCAGCAAACTGGTACTGCTGAGTGCGCCGGCTGCCACCCGTCACCTGCCTCACTGACACCAGCAAGCCCCAGTGCCACCAGAGGTGCCCACCCAGCGGCCCAGGCTCATTTTGTCACCAAGCTCAATGCCACCCATTTCTGAGAGTTCAGTCCCCTCCATCAGACAAAGGCCTGGCCCGAGCTCACGAGAAATCCCAAGCTGTCCTTGAAGATCTTGCCATCCAACTCCAAGAAAAGGGGTGCACACACTGTGGGGGCTGCTCTTGGCACACCCCTGCTGCAGTCACCGCTGTCCTCAGGAAGCCCCGGCATCACCCGTCACCCACACTGCTCTCCTGTCCCTCATCTCAAAGACCTGCAGTCTGCGCCTGGACTGGGCCTGGCCACGCTCCATAGTGTAACCACGCTTGTCTCAGGGTGAAGACCTGCTGAGGACACCGAGTGGAGCTGGAACCCCGTGGCCCTGCTTGGCTTCTGTGGTCGCGGTCCAGGAACCAGCGGTGTCACAGCTGGCTGCTCCCTGCAGTCTGTTATCTCTAGAAACTGCTCACCTGACACGAGGCCGCTGGGGCTGTTTCTCTGCATAGAGCCTAATTCCGCTCAGTTTGTCCTTGGAAAATACTGGATTGGTTCACAGATTTCTGCTCCTTCTGCCCCAAACTCAGAAGGCTGTTCCAGTGATGGCTGGGCAGTGTCCTTGGCCTGTGGAGCCCAAGGCCCAGGCTCCTCAGACAAGTGGGGCAGCGCTGTCACTCGTCCTATAGATTCCTTCCCAGCAGCTGAGCGACTTCTGCAAAAGTCAGTATCAGAATCGGTTTTGCAGTGCACTTTGGGGAGCAGATTAACTTATTTTTGTATTTGACAGTAGTAAAATCTTATGATTTTTGAGTCACTTTGATATTACTTCCAAATTATTTTATCTTTCTGAAGGAAATATTGCAAAAAGTTTAAATGAAATCCCTTTCCAAAGGTTATTCATGAGCAAATAACACTAACTTTGAAGATCTTTATTAGACCAGTTTAGAAATCTGAGTACATGGCCTTTTCCGCTGGGTACGACAGGCACAGGGCAGTGGCCGGGCCAATGCTAGACCACCCGAGTCTTCTGAGCCTGAGGAGGTCTGTTTCTGAGGACTCGGTGACTGAGAACCAGCTTCAGTCCTTGGGCATTACTGTGAAACAAAGCCATGTCACCTGCCACACGGAGCGCAGCCACACGTCACCAGGTAGGTGGCTGCGACGTGGTCTCTGTGGGAAAGGCCTTTGGCAGGAGCGTGGAGAGGGCCCAGCGTCCCTCGGTGCCCATGCTGCTGCCCAAGGTCCCCAGGTCCCAGGCACTCAGGCTGGCATTTCCAATGCCTGCAAAGTGTTGACACTGGCATCTGAACCATGCTGATGTGCACAGTACCCGCCTGCCAAACTACCTGATTTTTAGGAATTACAGATACTATGAACAACTGCCAGTTGCCACGTGTCTTGGGCTCTGAGCAGTGTATTGGTGACTGCCAGGAGAGTGACATGCCACGTCTGCTGGGTGTCACCATGCCCTGTTAGAAACCCAACACGTTCAATGTGCCTACTGTATCTCAATTCCACATGACAGAAGGTCAGGTTCCTTCTAGGAACACTGGGTGCTATCACCAGGTTTCATAGTTAGATTTTAAAACTTGAAATTCACCTTTTTTGGGGGAGGGGGGGATATACTGAAATAGAGATTTGAGAATTGCCAGTTGGGGGGAAATAGCATTTAAAGTGGAAATTTGTGTTTGGAAAATTGTGTATGAGTATTTTTGTATTAAAAGCATTTTAAAGGCCTTTTTCTTAGACTTATTTCATAAGGGCTTGTGCTCTGATTTCCCCATTTCCCAAGGGTTCTGAATTTCAGGGGGCCAGCTCGGTGGGGGGCTTGGAGGGATGGGGGTGGCTATCTTCTTCCTGTGTCCCTGCCTGGGAAGTGTAGCGCATACAGCAAATACAGTGGGGTTCTACTTTGGGGACTATGCTTTTTCCCTTGAAAAATAGTGCAGCTGGGGATGGGCTATGTCCTAGCCCTGTGGCAGGTGACCTGGGCAGCCCCCAAGCTCTCAGGGCCCATGACCCCTGTCCCCCTGGGTCTTGGCAGCTGCCCAGGAAGAGGCTGCCCACAGAGCTCGGTCACCCAGCCTGAAACACAGCTCTGCAGCTTCCTGTAGAAAAGTTCAACTTTAATCACACACAGTCTTACATGAGAGCAGGTCCCTGGAGATGGGGCCCAAGTGTCCACAACTGTACAAAAGACAAATACAAAACTGGCAGGCACTGGCAGTGCACAAGGCCCCGTGGCTCTGTTCCGACTCGAGCACTGCCAGGGCCATCCAGGGCCATCCCAGTCAGTGCCAGGTGCCTCCTCTGGTCCCCTCTCACCCTCTTGAGGAGGGCAGCACAGCAGCAAGGAGAAACCCTCGCACTTGGTCAGTGGAATTTAAGAAAAAAAATTAAAAAGGTAAAAGTCTAACAGGCACTAGAATTAGGAAGTTACAACTTTTTTGGTTAACTTTAACATTCAAAAATGTAATATTGAATCCAAAAAAGTATCTTGATCACACAAAAAGTAACCCATAGTAAAATATAAAAAATAAGCTCCAAACACCCAGAGAAACGATCTAAGACTTAAATAGGCCAGGGCCAGCAGGGCACAAGTGGCGGGCTGCTGACCCCTGGAACTGGAAGGCAGGGCGGCTAGGTGCTCAGGACACATTGGTCATGGGCTTGTACTTCTTGAAGCGCGTCCACTGGCCTGTGGCGTAGTTCATCTCGAACACCGTGTCCACCAGCATGGTGGTGCTGCCCTGGCCATCAGCCTTGGGCAGGTCCTCTGTGTGCTCGCTGAGTTTGATCTGGATAACGTCCCCCTGCTCCTGGCATGGGTTCTCTGTAGGGACAGGGATGGTTGGGCAGAGTGTGTGTAGAGCCAAGGACACCCCCAGCCCCACCTGCATACCCCACCAGGCCAGCCGCAGGCCACCACAGGGACACACCTCTGGAGCCCGCCATGAAGCCCAGGATGAGGGCCTTCTCGGGCCGCGTGACCTTGTTGGCAGTCTTGAACATCTCCTGTGCAGCGAACATCTGCTCTCGCTGCGAACAAGGGGAAGGCGTGGGTGTTCCAGCTACCGAGCAGGCAAGACCCTGCCACCCTGCTGGGGGCCCACAGGGAACCTACTGTGAGGGACAGGTTCTTCTTAGGCTGTGTCTGCGCAGGGGGCTGCGTCTGTGGGGCCACCATGGCCACGGGAGGTGTCTGGGCAGCGGGGGCCACAGCCGGGGGTGTGGTGGGCGTCAAGGGTGAGGTGGGCGCCGCAGGTGCCGGTGTGGCCGGGCCCAGGCCACTGTTGTACATGGGAGCCCTCTGCTTGAACTGTGGAGGCAGCGTGGGGCTTGGGGTGCTGGCTTCCTCGGGGGGCCGGCTGGCCTGCAGGCTGGCTTCTCGGGATGACGGGGCTGCAGTGGACAGCGAGTCTCTGCAGCCCATGCCAGCCCCCTTCCAGGCTCCCTGCCCTGCTGCGCCTGGAGTGGCAGCCAGCTCAGCCCTGCACCCTGGGACCTCCCGTGCCCAAATGAGGCTCCAGCCCCACAGACCAGACGTCCAGCACCTACTCAGCTTCTGGCCAGGCGCTGGTGACAAGGCAGAGGACAGCAGCATCCCCAGGGCTTTCTGCCCAGCAACTCCCAGCTATCAGAGCAGGGCTCAGCAGCCCATGGGCAGCTCCTCTGGAACCCAGGGACACAAGGGCTCAGTGCCACCAGCTCAGCTTTCGCGTTATTTCTCAGCCAGGAGGGGTCCTTCCCTACCAGGTACTGGGGACAGGAATCGGGTACAGAGGTTCTGATGCCAAGGAGGCAGGCCTTTGGACCTGCAGCTGCCCACCAGGCAGGGCCCTCCTGGGTGGACATGGTAAATTGGTGTTGGACAGCAGGTGCTGAGGAGGATGTTGGGGAGGCTGCCCGAGCCCGCTTACCTGGGGGCGTCTCAGAGCTGGGGACATAGGAGGATGCGGGGACCACACTGGGCGTGGAGGGCAGGTAGCTGGTGGACGGCAGTGCAGGCTCACTGCTCAGAGACCCAAGTTTCTGGGAGACGAGAAGCCAAGGTCACTCCTGGTAGAGGGCCAGGCTCCAGTGTGCCCTCCCCAGCCAAGGCCACCTGCCATGCAGTGGACAGTGGGAGCTCGGCCCTGTCACCACCATCTGGAGTCCTCCAAGGAGAGGCTCCCAAGCCACTGCTGGGGAAGCGAGGGAACTACACTGCCTTCCTTCCCATGAAAGCGGCCAGTAAGAGGCATGCATTCTAGGAAAGGGCGCTGGAGAAAGCTAGCGCCCACAGCAACGCGGCCACCTCTGTGGATGCCAGGGAGCGCCAGGCCCATTACCCACCTGGCACCCCCAGCACATGTGGCAGGTCTGCCCTGCATCAGGGCCTTGGCCACACCCCCTCATATACATACATACAACTGTACACATATGTACATACATACACATATACACATACATACACCATGATGCTGCAGCCCTGGGACTCACAATTGCAATAGGAGGACATAGGCTTGGCTGAGCCACAGCCGGTGGCAGATGCAGAGGCAGTGGCAGCATGGTGGCCATGTCACCAGAACCTACCTGCGTGGACACCAGGCCAGCTGCATAGTCCGGGGTGGCGTTCTCCACAACCGTCTCCTCCTTGGCAGGCTTCTCCACCACTTCTGCATCTGCACAAAAACACGTCCTTGTCAGACCCTACAAATGTGGGGAAGCTGCCAGGCTGAGAGCATGGTGGCCTTGGGCACTGGTAAGGACGCAGGGCCAGCAGGTCCAATAGAGGAGCCCTGCCTGGCCACCCACCCAGCCCCTGCCACGTGGTGTCCCCTACGCACCAAGTGTCTTCCTCCGCCGCTTGGCTTCACGGCCAGCGCCCACCGTGCCCAGCTCGGAGATGTCGAGGAGCTGCAACGACACAGTCACCGGCCATGCTTAGGGCCGTGTGTGGGCTGAGACCCACCTGGAGGGCAGGGCAGGGCCAGGCCCACCTTCACACCCCTTTCCTTCTGCATCGGGGTCCTGGACGGGGGGATTGGGGTCCGGTTCCCGGCAGGGCTGAAGACACTGGGCGTGGTGGGGCTCCGGAAAGGCGCCTGCTTCGGGATGCCTTTGAGTGGGGCTGCAGAGAGGGCGCCCAGTGAGGAAGGCAGGTGCACAGAGAATGTGGGTCTTGCCCTGTGCGTGTCCCATCTTTCCACTTACGGGGCGGGTTTGATGCCTGGGCCTCCTGTGTGTTGGGCCAGGCCTCTGCCCATGCTAATGAAGGGGCCTTGTTTAGGCACAAGGGGCCTGGTCCAGGCAGGGCTGTGGGGCAGCCAAGAGGTGAAGGGCAGCAGGCCCCGGTCCCACAGGCCTGCATCTGTGCCGGGAACCCCATTTCCTTGCCATGGACCTTCACCCTGGCTAAGCTTGTGCCCAACCCCAAGTGCACTGCGGAGATCAAAGATCAGAGTATGAGAACAGTGTGGCCCAGACCAGCACCTCGGGACCCGAAAGGGCCCTCCCATCCCATGGCCTCACTTGTGGTGTCCATCTTGCGGAGCAGCCCGCGGCCCTTGGCGTGAAACGGCACCCCCGTGCTCCTCTTCAGTTGCTGCGCCGTCTCAGTGGCTGGGGAGGTTGCAAGTGTCAGCATGAGTGCACCCCCACAGTCACAAGTGCTTGAACAGAGGCTCCCGTGGTCTAAGAAGCTCCTGTCCAACAGCCCCACTGGGGTGGGCACCCGAAGGCTCCTACAGCGCTCAGCTTCGGTTTCACTCACAGGTGCACACACTCAAGACCGAAACTGCCACAGGGCGCGGGGACAGGCAAGAGGCCCAGGCGCGTGCTACCACACAGCGCGTGCCCAGCTCCCCTTTCCTAGGCAGGGTCTCCCTGGGCTGGGCCTCAAGGGTCTCCAGGGGTGGCCCAGCGTGTGGGGTTCCAGAGTCCAAGAACAGTGCTGACCCCAATGCTGCCTCCTCCTGCTGCAGTCACAGCCAGCTGCTGTGAGGTTAACTCAGATTCCTGACCACAGGGCACACGTGTATGTCTCTGACGTATGTCCTGTGACCACTCAAAATAAGGCAGCTATTAAAATCTGTGTCTGCTTCTGAGATGGGGTCTCACTACCTTGCCCAGGCTGACCTCAAATTTCTGGGCTCAAGTGACACTCCTGCCTCAGCCTCTGGAGGAGGCTGGCACACTGTCTTTTTGAAAAGGTAGCCTAGGTCCTTTAAAAGTCTTAAGTCTGGAAAGACAAAGCCAAACCCCCGCAACAGCAGCGCGGCTCGTGGGCCACACTCACACTTCTGCAGCAGCTCGGCACGCAGTGTGGCACTCTTGGGCTTGCGCTTCAGCTGGAAGTGCTTCACGGGCGGCGTGAGCGGCCCAGCCAGTGTGGTCAGGGCATTCTTGTTCAGGTACTGGCACTCCAGGGGCAGCATGGCGGATGCCTCGCACTCACCCACTGTGGAGAGGAGGGTCAGGGGTGCCCCAGTCCATTGAGGGCCCCGCGGCTCTGCCCTGCCACCTCTGGGGCAGCACCAAGACAGAGGCACGGCTCAGGGGCGGCCTCTAGGGACAAGATCACTTGCACACACTTCCCAGGGCCGGGTAGCCACTGAGGACCGGAGCTCAGTAACCCCCTCAAGGAGGTGACAGAGTTTCTGCTGCTCTGACAAGTGACAACACCACCTGGAGCTAAAGCACAGCCACACGGGGACAGGAGGTAGCCCTGCGCCTGCCCAAGGCTGCCTCATGCCCCACCCAGCCCAGGCTGGCCCATGCACAGAGGCTCTAGCATAGGGGCCGCTCCCTAGGGGTGGCAGGCCTGTCCTCCAACTAGGACAGACACTCTGAAAAAGTACCAGTGCCCTGCCCACATGTTCTCTGGAACCATCTGCAATGGTTTGAAGCAGCATGCTGATATCAACAAGGTCTGAGGCCCACTCTGGGAGCAGTCCTGGTGCCTGCCGTCGAGCAGCAGGGATGGGAGGACCTCAGGAAAGACCGCCCTCTCGGCCGGCCAGGCAGGACGAAGGAACAGGCACACACTACGTACCCTTTTCTCTGAGCTCTCCCAAAATATCTTGAACGTTGGGGTTCTGCTCCTCGAGGTCAAGGTTCAGTGATCCCGTGTCAGGAAAGGACTTCAGGATGTCGGCAACCATGAGGACCCAGGGGTCCGAGTCCAGGGAGGCGAGCTGGATGATCTCCAGGAGGGCGCCCTTCATCTGCGAGCGAGCAGACAGTGAATCCCACAGGGCCCACCGTGCATGTGGGAAGGTGCCCCGCACACCTGCACATCCCTCAGGGCTCCTCGTCTTCTCCAACCCCACCCAGCGTCCCTTTCGGCTGGTCCCTGCCAGGTCCCTAGCACCCGCCATAGCCTCGCAGGATCCCCTGCAGGGCGGCCTGGGTGTGAAGGTTGGGCAGAAGAGCAGGCACAATCAGCCCTCACCCCAATTCACCACAGCCGGGCAGGGAGGAGACAGGCGGGGAGGCTCGGCAAGGGTGGGCTCCCACCCACTCAGCACCCTCACGTCAGCCAGAACTCGACATCGCTGCCCTCTCTGGCTCTTCGCTGGCTTTGGCTAAGAACTGCTGTGTGCACAGGCAGGTTCTTTCAGGAAGAACCACGTTGGGGGCTCAGCTCAGTGGATGGGTGTTCACTCAGCACAGGCAACGAGGCTCTGAGTTCCATCTCCAGGGCCAGGAAATCCACCCCCAAACAAGTGAACCTGCCCCACGAGCCATGGCACAAGCCATGGCAGACGCTGCAATGCATTCCAGCTAATTCTGCTGACCTGACCAGCCCGCGGGTATTTAGACAGCTGGGTCCAACATTATTCTGCATGTATGTATGAGGGTGTACTGTAGCTGGAGGAGATCGTATGAACGCTAGACAAAAGCCGACATAGGACAGGACCTCGCCAAACACAGAGATCTCCACATGAAGATCCACGGTTCAGTCCACCAAGCAACTGTAACTGTCAGCCTGTCTGCACCTCGTAACAACCTCAGAATGTACGAAGCAGAGGTCGATTAAAAGAACAGCTGAACTCACGCTCATTGCCACAAGGCAGTCACTAACTGACAGCAACTCGATAAGCGTCTGAGCAAAGGCGATTACGTGCCCCCGTCACAGGTCTCAAACCTGGTGAGTGCAAGTGCTCACCAGGCTTGCTCACAGCAGCTGCAAAAACGAACTGTGTGTTTTCCATCACGCAAACCCTAAATTTCAAGCACATGAAATAATTCAGCCTATATTCTCTACAAGAGCTCAATACAGGTAGAAATCACTAAAACAAACAAAAACTAAAGCCTCTTCCCTTCGTGTGGAAATTAAGAAACATTTCTACATTATGCAGGAGTCAATAAAAAGTATTATGGAAATTTGAGAATAATGGAACTTGACCCCTGTGTCAAACTTACAGGATGCAGCTAAAGCTGTCATTAGAAGAACAATGATGGCCTCATATGCAAATATTAAAGAAGATCTGGGTGCAGTGGCACACGCCTGTAACTCCAGCCACCTGGGAGGCTGAAGGAGACGGATCACAAATTCAAACCCAGACCGAGAAATTCACTGAAACCCCATCTCTCAAATTTTTGTGGCTCAGTGGTAAAGCACTTGCCTAGCACGTGCAAGGGCCTCGGCTCAATCCCCAGTACCACAGGGGAGAAAAGAGGAAAGGCTTAAAAACTGAGGTTTCTATCCATCTTAACAGCTCAGGGAAAAGGAAAAAATATGTAAAAATTAGGGAAACAACACCAACAAAGTCAAAGTTGATGGAAAGACTCTGAAAGGTCTTATAAAAGTGACAAACATCTGGTGAGAAGGATCAAGAATAGGAAACACGAAAAGGGGAACGAACATCACTACCTGTGCTCTGAGGTTAAGACAGAAGGACATCATTAGCTACTTATTGCTAATGTAAAAATGATCAGAAATGGCCAAGTTCCTAGAAAAGTATAAAATCAAAACTTAAGAATGTAAAACCAAAATATCAATGCTTTTTTTTTTTTGCTATCAGCAATCAAACTCACGACCTCATGCTTGCCAAGCAGGCACCGTGCCGCTGAGCTATATCCCCAGTGCAAGTATCAGTGCTTAAAAGTCTTCTTATAAAAAAAAAGTCTTGCCAGGCGTGGTGGCACAAGCCTGTAACCCCAGCACTGGGAGGCTGAGGCAGGAGGATCGTTGTGAGTGCGAGACCAGCCTCGGCTACAAAGTGAGCTCAAGTCCAGCCTGAACTGCATAGTGAGACCCTGTCTCAAAAAAAGACCAAAAAAAAAAAAAGTCTTCCCATAAAGAAAACCACAAGTAGTAGATTTTACTACCAAGTCCTACTGTTTATGAAGAAATAATTCTTTTATTGTACATAATTTTCAAAGAAGAACAAAACGTAGGCTACAACCCCTTTTATAATGGTAGGACAGCACTTTCAATACCAAAATTTGGCAGACACATTACAGTTCATGTCCCCCCACCCACACACTCTTTGGTGTGTATCAAGAACACTGAGCATGGAAGGAAGAGAGCTGGGGGACTGCAGAGTCTAGAATGGGGGTGCTGAGAATATTTTAAAAATGATGAGGGCGATCAATTCTGTGAATAGTTAAAAATCTCTCCATTAAACTTGAACGGAATGGTGTGTGAGTTACATCTCAATAAAGCTGTTTTAAAAACTCACTGAAGCTAGATATTGCAGTGTATGCCTGTATTCTGGCGCTCAGGAGGTTACTTGTGATCAACCTAGGCAATGTACCAAGACCCCATGTGAGGAGAAAAAAGAAAAAAAAAAACCCTTATTTATAATTAATAGAGTTTTCAATAAAATCTCCTAAGAATAGAAGACAATTTTCTTAATTAGATAAAGCATATTTTCCCAAAACAACCGGGAACAACGTTCATGGACAAAATGGTCAAAGCTCCCCTGTGATCACACACAAGGCTGAGGCACACAGGGGCCTCGTGAGCACAGTAAGAAAAAAAAAAAAGAAGCTAAATACTAAGTGCACTGAAAAGTCATGAAGATTGTACAGAAAAACTGCAATTAGTAAGATTTCAGCAAGAAGCTATGCAAACTCAATACCTAAAAGGCCAATGCAGTTGGATATATCAACAACAAATAGACAAAACTATGATGGATCTACACAGACATGCCAGTATCCACAAGCTATAGGAGTCCAAATGATTAAGAAGATGCCACACATTCATAAGTGTCTTAGAGTCCCAGCAGTGTGCATGAAACCTGTGAAGTGAATATAAAATGTTCAAGGAGGTACAAAGGGCCAAGAAAAGCCAGTTCTGAACACCACCACGGGAGGTCTGTCCTGCCTGTTAGCCGTCCAGACAATACCAGCAACTTACAAATGGCTTGAAAGAATAGACACCAGAGCTGGGGATATAGCTCAGTGGCACAAGTGCCTACTTGGCAAGTGCAAGGTCCTGAGTTCGAGTCCCAGTACCAAAAAAAAAAAAAAAAAGCCAGACAGTGACTCTCTGCAGTAGTGATGGCAGAGATCCATTCCAATCAGCAGGGTTGGACCACAGGAAAGGTCCATAATATTCCCACCTTCATACAACCATCACATCCATCCGGACTGAAGACCCAAGTATGAATAGCAAAGTTCTACCAAGAGGAGGCAGCATAGGACCCGCCTACATTTCCTAAAACAAGAGGCGAGGCCAAAGCTATCTACCCCAAACTGAGAGCTTCTGCTCCTCCAAAGAAAGCCTGCAGGCAGGAGATACACACAACATACATTAAAGATGAAGCTCTGCCCTCCTCCCTCCCTCTCTCCCGCGAAGGAAGAGAACAGTCAGGGAAAAACAGCAGGTTTGAACAGAGAAGTCACAAAATGCAAATAAACACACGAAAAGATGTTCTTCCACAGGAGTAACAAGGAAGATACAAATTAAAACCACCTGGTAATATTTACACATCTACTAGACAGACGTTTTGGTGGGTAGAATTTGACAACTTTGAAAAACAATTTGGCATAATTCTAATACCCCTACAATTCCACCCCTAGGTTTTCAATCCTAGAGAAATGTACACTCCACAAGCATCCAAATACACACATAATAACATGGGTATAGCACTATTCACAACAGTGTAAAAACTAGCTATAGCCTAAATGTCTCCCCACGCCAGGATGGATAAAATGGTGTGTGCTCAGAGAGGAATATCACACTGCAGAAAAAATTACATCTCTTCCACTGCAACCTGGCTCAGTCTGTCAAGGTGCCCAGAGACACACCCACCACACACCAAAGGCTACCTTAATATCAATTCAAATTAGGCCAACCCCAACTCTCCTGTTTAGCAACGCCGGACTGCCCCACATGAGGAGAGGAGAAGAGGCTGCGGTTAGGGATCGGGGCGCTGGTTCCGAGCAGCAAGCGTTTCCTGACTTCTCCACTTGTGAGGGTTACCGAAGTGGTCGCTTTGCTGTTAGCCTTCGCTGAAGTGAGCCATGCACTGTTGCATGCGTTTAACAGATCAACCATACGGAACCCCATCATAACCTGCGCAAAGACGTAAAGTACAGCAGTAGCTGGGAACGTTTAAACGATTGTGGTGTTTCAGTGTTTTTGCAAAACTCAAGTTTATTTTGCACAGAACGATGCGATAAAACTCCAAGGAAAAGAAAAATCAAATGGGACGTATCTACTAAATAGAACCACGCAAAACCATCCTGTTAAGCGACTTAAGAGTGAGCTTAGAGCCGGGCTCTGGGCGAAGCAACACCACCACCGTTACGGTCGGTGGTCACCCGGAATGTGACACTGGAGCCCAACCTGGCGTGGCCCGCATCCTACACCCACCCGCCGCGCCTCGCCCCTGGGCTCTCGATCCCGACCCCACCCGAGACCCGGCGGGGCGGGCGGGGTGAGGCCGGGGGGCGGGTTCCGCACCGCCAGGGGCCCGGCGGGCAGGAGGGCCCGGGCCCCGCCTCACCTCGTCCACCGCACGGCGCGGGAGATGCAGCGTCCCGAGCAGTAGCTTGAGCTTCACGGCCGACGAGAGGCGGTGGAAGCAGAGGCGGATGTTGTCGATGACGGCGGCTGTGAGGAGGGACGCGATGCTGGGCGGTGCCCACAGCTCGTCCGTGGCGCCCAGCTTGTTGTGCAGCCACAGGCCCGTGTCGCTCTCCCGCATGGACGCCATCTTGGGGGCCGCGGCGCGCGCGGGCCGGCACCCTGTGCTGACGCCTACGCGCCCCCGCCGAGGACCCCCAACATGGCGGCGCCCGCAGGCGCGGGGCGGAGCCTCGGGAGGGCGAGCCCTTGCCGCAGGTGGCGGCTGCGCGGCCTGCCGACGGCTTTGTGCTGACGCCCGGGAGCTGGAGCGAAGGCGCGCGGCTGGGAGGCCCTTCGGCTTCCGTAGTGCATCCTGTCGGTGTCCTCACAGCGCCGGGAGATGACGTCACGCGAGACGAAGTCGTGTTCGAATGACGCCGCGGCCGCCGGCACGGTCGTTACGACCTGCGAGTGGACTGGTCAGTCGGTCCAGCTTCCCCGGGCGCAAGGTTCCGGGCCCGGGTTCCGCGTCTTCCGCGCAGAGACCTCCCGGACCCTGGGTCCTGCGAGGCCCCACTCGGCCAAACAGGTTGTGCTCCCGCGCCCACCCAGCGGCAAGGCTGCCTGGAGTCCACGCCCTCCCGGAAGGGCACTGTCCTGGTGGAGTCCTGGACTGGGCGCCCCGCGGTGATGCTGCACTGGGCTCCGAAGGCTTCTGCAGGGCCCGCGCCGGTGCCCAGCCAGGCCGTGGAGCTGCCTCGCACGCGCTTGCAGGAGTCCACTGTTACCTTCTCAGGAACGATATGGGCTTGTCGTTACGTACAGCTGTCATTAAAAAGTAAACATCATTTTTATTACTCTCCTGGAAGCAGGAGTCCCAGAACTGCTTCAGGAAGAGGCAAGACCAGTGGAATAAGTGTGTCCAATGTGAGAGTTTTTTGAGGGGGATTAATAGCAATGTGGCTCTCACTATAATAAAAATTTTAAAATTTAAACATTCACTGTATATTTTAATTACACCCTGTACATTGTAACGTAACAAGTGACTGAAGATATACTTCATTCAAAAGCAGTGAAATGGTTCAGCTAAGAAATAGCACGCATCATTGTTTAATGGGTGATGTTCTGGCCTAAATGGAGCTGTGCTGAAAGATGTTTAATAATGTAATGTGTTTGAACGTAAATAGTTTAGCAGATGTTTACATAACAAATATAATGACTACATTTACTGGGACAACAGTAGTTTGGCATGCACCTCCATTTGTCAAATTATGACTGAGTTGTAACCGTATATCCACTGAAATGAAAATCTGTTCAGGCAGAGCCCTGTATGCAGATGTTTATGGAAGGTCTATTCATAATAGCCAAAAATGAAATGCAAATCCAGCCAGGTGTGGTGGTACGTGCCTGTGACCGGAGTACTTGGGAGGCTGAGGCAGGACAATTGCTGCAAGTTCAAGGACAGCTTGGGCTTTATAGTGAGTTCAAGGCGGGCGCCGCCATGTTGCATTGCGTTTGCAGTTTAAGTTAGAACTGTCATCTTTATATAGCAAAGACACAAGAACAGGGCCCATTGTGCCCCAAGAGCCACAGCTGCTCCAAGCACCCTTAATGGGCTGTGGCTACACTAGGACACGCCACAACTGCTCAGGGAGACTTGGATTCGACAGCTTCTGTCTCAGGTCCATCCCAGATAACTGTCCATGGTCTCTCTGAAAGATAACTCCACTCCTGTGCAGCTGGGTCAGCTCCCCAAAGCTTTCCCGGGTCTGGTCCTTGGAGTCCCTCCCTACCCATGAATAGGCACAGTGTCTGTGGTTAACAGCAGGACACAGCATGTGCAAGCCACCTTTCTCATCTATATAAACAGCCTCTCCCTGCAGGCGCAGGCTGTGCTCCGCTTGCCCTTACGCTGCAGCATGAGTTCTAATAACGCCTCTTCCAGACAGATTTCATTTTTATCCTCATTTTTATCATGGGTAGAGCGGGCTGATTTGCTTACCCTGAGTTGGTAACACTAAGGGCTGCTGGCACCGAGAGTGGCTAGAGGCCGGGCTGGTAACACCGATGGTGGCTGAAGAATGGCAAAGTGCTGAGGACCAGCTTGGCATGGTGCAGAGCAGGCAGTGCTTGATGTTGATAAATTGACATAGAAATGAATTGAATAGAGAATCTGTCCTAGGCCTAAGTGATTTGTGGTGAGGCCCATGGCTGGCGTGGAAATGAAACTAATCCTCAGGCCAAAGTCCAGGACCCAAACCAGCTAGCGGTCTGTGAAGTTCTGGTACCTTACAGCAGGAAAAATACTGCAGCTGAGGACTTTGACTCACCCAGATTCCTTCTAGCTCAGTAGTTCTAGCAGGTAATCAGGTTACTAGTTAACGATGACCTGTTCCTGTGTGCTTTTCCAAAAACGCTTTGTTCTTTGAATCCGTGAGGCTTGCCTACATTCAGCAGGTCACACTCGGCACTTCCTGCAGCCACCAGTACCTCCCCCCCATTAAGATGTGCATCTAATAAAGACCAAGGACATGGTGCCTCGTGGTCCTAGTCCTTCTTTAAGTTCTGACCATCACAGTTCTCCTTGTGGCTGAAATACACATATCTTGTCAGTGTTTTATTCTGTCGTCATGCCCCTGAGCAGGCCATGTCCTAGGCCGTGGCCTCGATAGCAGAGAGTGGTGGAGAATAATAGAGAGCTCCTGATAGCTCGGACTCGCAGGAGAGTCGCAAAGAGATAACTGACAGCAAACAAACCCTCAGCCAATTGGGAACTCAGTAATGGCAATGGGACAGCGGGGCTTTTGGAAGGTGGTGGGTTATGGGGTGCTGTAGCTACATATGATCTTAGGAAGTAGGGCCTGTAGGAAGTAGGGCCTGTAGGAAGTAGGAGGTAGGTCATGAGGGCCGTGACTTGGTGAGGTACATCTCCCTCCTTGGTTCCTTCCTTAGCTCTCTGCTTTCTGGCTGCCGTGATGTAACCAGTTTTCCTCAGGTGTGCTCCTCTGCCATGCTGATGTGCCTTGGAGCCAATGGACTATAGACTAAAAGTGCAACCCCAAATAGACTGCTCCTTGTCTAAGTTGTCCCAGTGATGAGAAAGTGACTGAAACAGATGTTATTACCAGAGAAGTGAGGTAGTTACGGTGACACTACCTCAGTATGTGGTTCAGAAACCTTTTGAACTGGTTGGCACGTGGAGTCTGGTAGAGATACCAGCTAGAAAAACCCTAGAATGTTGTAAGTCAAGCCTGGTGTGCAGTACTGGCTGGGACTCAGAAGACCATAATGCTAATTAAAATGTAGACAGTTGTCTTGGTTACTTTTCTCTCGTTGCTGGGACAAAATACTTTACGCCCAAAATTAAGGAAGGAAAGGTTTATTTTGCTTACAGTTTCTGGAGCTTTCAGTCCATACTTGGTAGGTTACAAAGCAGAGTGGCACATGGCAGAGGGCTACAGCTCATGGCGGCAGAACACAGCAAAAGCAACAAGCCAAAAGGGAGGAATGGCAGCCTCTTCCTCTCCCTTACATATGCAAACTATCCACCCCAGGGCGGGTGTAGCTCTCACACCCATAATCAATCAAACCCTAAAAGCCTGCCCCATGACCGCATGAGGCTTTGGGGGGACACACAGACACAAACCATAACAACGGTCAAGGCCGGGCTCAGGAGGTTTAAGTTTCAAATGACTGCATTGAGAGTTAGACTCCATACCATGTATGTTATGCTCTGTCCAGAAAATCTGTATACATTTTCTCAGGTCCTGAGACTTTCCAGGAGACTGAGATTAAGTGTGGCAGACTAATCTGGCAGAGGAAATTTTAAGTTTAATGTTTACACTGTGGCATACCTATCATTAAATGCTTGCAGCCAGCCCTACATTGAGAAAGTTCCACATTCTAAAAGTTCTCAGTTTTCCAGAAGTGAAGTTCTTGTAAAATTTTTCCAGAGGAGAGCTTGGTTGCCAAAAAGATTAGCATTCTAAAGAAGCCAAGTATTTCACGTCAGAACAATAGGAAAGAGGTGTTGAGGCCATGTGAGGAATTACCAAGATTCCACCCTTTGCAGGCTCAAGGGTGCAAATGTGAAAGACTTTGCTTTGGGAAGAGAGCACCAGGACAACTTTCTCATGAAAGACTGCCTAGGAAATTGGTTTCTCAGGATCTATTTTATAGTGCCCAGTCAGCCAGGCGTTTGGAGTCCTCTCCAGCCATGATTCAAGGGGGCCTGGCTACAGCTTGAGCTGTGTCAGACCTTGGCATCATCCACATGGTGCTGGTTTTACAGGCATGCAGAATACGAGTTGGGTTATGGAGGCTTCTACCCAGATGTCAGAAGAAGTTGGCAGTGTGCCTCTGAGCGGGCAGTGGATAAAGCTGTGAAAATGAAGCTGAAAGTGCAATGGAGACCCCAGGAAGTTGGAGAACCTTGGAACATGGAATGTTTGAAGAAAGCCACAGGCGGTGAACAAAGCCATCCCTAGAGAGAGGCCATAAGGGCCATGACCAGCTATCCACGGGGGTGGGGCTATTCAAGACTTCTGGAGTTCACATCTGATTGCCGCAACTTGTCCCAAGTACTGACATGGAGCTAGAGGATTTAACGTTTGGCCTATTGGGTTTGGGGCCACTTCTTTCCTTCCTTCCTTCCTTCCTTCCTTCCTTCCTTCCTTCCTTCCTTCCTTTCTTTTTTTTTGTAGCATGAATCAAACTCAAGACCTCACACTTGCCAAGCAGGCACTGTGCCACTGAGCTAAATCTCCAGCCCCTATACCTTTCTATCCCACAATTTCTCCCTGTTGGAATGGTAATGTTCATCCTGTGCCATTGATGTCAGCAATATATAACTTGCCTTTTGATTTTTACAGGGTCTCACAGCTAAGAGTTTGCCTTGAGTATCAGAAGAGACTTTGGACATGGACTTTCCAGTGAAACTGGAACTGTTGAGAGTTTAGTGGCTCTTACAGGTGGACTAAATGCATTTTTCAGAAAGAGGTGAGTTTTGGGGGGCCAGGAGTGGAATGTTATGTGTTATGTCTCGATGCCTCCCAAGAACCCCATTTGCTCATAGATGGGGCTTTTTGAAGGTGATTGTGTCATGGGGCATTGTAGCTAAATGTGATCTTGGGAGGTAGGGCCTGGAGAGAGAAGGTGGTGCACTGGCCCGGTAGGGTGCATCTCCCTCCCTGGTTCCTGTCTTCACTCTCTGCCTGCTGGCTGCCACAACACACACAGCTTTCCTCCTCTGTGCCCTTGTGCCATGCTGTTCTGTCCTGGAGCCAGCAAACTACGGACTAAGAACGTGAGTTCAAATAAGCTTCTCCTCTCTTAAACTGTGTCTTTTGTTCCAGCAAGAAGGAAAGTGGGTAAGAAAGCCTATG